CGGGCGGGCGGGCGGGCTCGCTCTCCTCGAACCTCGAAGGCTCACGTGCGGGTGTCCCGGTTGTAGACCGTGATTGGCCGTGATTCCCCGAAATGCGGGGGAATGAGCCGCATCTGCACGTTGCGCGGGCCCCGCGCCGCGCATTCCGGTGCCTCGGAGAACACAGGGCAGGTTGACTCATCGGCCGAGTCCTGCCCGCCTGGTTCAGCTGTGATTAAAAGTTACTGTTGGGGAAGCGATGACTAATCCGAGGCTCGCCATTGCCTTTTCGTTTCTCGCTGAGGACGTGAGCGTGACTGTGGCGCACACGCAGCACGGCGTTCGATTACTGGGTCCACTGGATGCGGCGCTGAAGTGAAACTATTAGGAAAGCGCCCACATCCCCATAGGTCCCCGTGGAGTGGTTGAGTGTAGGTTTTTCCTTTGTTTCTTCATCTTAAAAAAAGAACTTGCTTCAGGCTAAATTTCAGCTTAGGAACTTTGCCCAAAAGTTGATTGGTTTTCCAAATTCTGCGATGTCGTTAGTCCACTTGGGCTGTAACTTGAGTGAGAAGAGTTATCGCCCCATTCCCATTCCTCCCCCACCTTCTGCAAGCCTGTTGTGTGTTCTCCTGCCTCAGACCAAGGGATTTTGGAATTCAGAAAAACTCACTTAACCTGCTGGCAAAAACCTGGGTTAAGAAGGAGAAAGGAAAAACAATTTAGCCGTTTGCCTAAATACTTCAATTTGTCAGAAGTAGACTTTATGCCTTTTTCTTTTACTCCTGGAAGTGGGTTTCTGGACTCGTGTGTCAATGTCTGTTGGCATTGCACTCTACAGACGACAGGGCTATGCTGCTAGTTAATATGTTTTGAAAGCGTAATACACATAGGAGATTGAATTCCCCATTTTGTGGCACCTATATGCCCCCAAATAATTGCAGTTAAAAAGTATACTCTAATTCAGTGGTTCTCAACCTTTTGGCCTTTTAAATACAGTTCCTCGTGTTGTGACCCAACCATAAAATTATTTTCGTTGCTACTTCATAACTGTCATGTTGCTACTGTTGTGAATCGTAATGTAAATATCTGATGCAGGATGGTCTTAGGCCACCCCTGTGAAAGGGTCTTTCGACCGCCAAAGGGGTCGCAACCCACAGGTTGAGAACCGCTGCAAGTCTAATTGCACAAGAATTTATATCCAGCAGTTTATTGGTTTATACTACTGACTGTCTAATATGGATTTGTTTTTAATAAGTTTCTTAAGCGATATGCATCTGTAAGTTTGACTTACTTTTGCTGATGATTTCCTAATTCAAATATATTCTGATTGGAAACTCAGAAATGTATATGACTTGTTTAAGGCATAAACGCCTTTCTGATTGCTTCCAATCTCCTTTCCTTGCATATATGAATCTAGGAAATTCTAACTTTCTGGTAATCAGTCCCTAATTCTAATAATGGAATTTAAATAACTGAATTATGAATAGTGTATGGGTTGTAAGTAATATCCACAAACTATTGGATGTAAATTCATTCATACGTATATGTCTGTGTAAGTTCTTAAGTTATATTGTAACTGAACTGTTGACATCTTTATTATCTAGGTACAAATAATATAGTTGGATTTTCATTCGTTAGGTGGCTTTTAAGAGCATTTGGCTAGTTCTAAATCTTTTGCATTCATTAAAAGTTATATAACTTGTGATGGTTGTTTTACTGATGGCATTTGTCCATGATGAGGAAAAAAAATGACAATTGTCATGTGTTTAGGGCTTAGCTTAGAAAAAAAATTAACTACGTACTTAAATATTAGCTAGTGAAAAAACTGCAGTTCTGTTCCTTGGCTTACATTTATACCTGGGACATTTTAAAACTTGGGAAAGCACCCATACTTCATTGACTTTATAGAAATTAGGTTTTAAAATTCAAAATTTATTATTTTAGGGCTGTTTCATTCATTCTTTACTATTTGTCTTTAAAATACGTAGAAAGCACATCAAATGTGTAGTAGGTAGAAAATTCACTTAAATGGATTGCTCATCAATAAAATTATAAATGTTTGTAAAAGTACATATTACAATTACATAAAACTTTTAAAAATACCCATCTGCATACCTGTATTTCTCTCTGTGACATATTAAATGTTGAAATTTGCCTTTGGTACTTAGATATTCGGTTGCAATGAAAGTCTATCTAGGAAATTTAAAGGGACTACTTAAAAGCAATTACAAATTTTTTATTTGAATATTCCTATAGGCCAGTACTGATGCAGGCACTGCAGGAGCCCTAACTCCACAGCATGTTCGAGCTCATTCCTCTCCAGCTTCACTGCAGCTGGGAGCTGTGTCCCCTGGGACATTGACCCCCACAGGAGTGGTCTCCGGGCCAGCAGCTACCCCCACTGCTCAGCACCTTCGACAGTCTTCTTTTGAAATACCTGACGATGTACCTCTGCCAGCAGGCTGGGAGATGGCGAAGACATCTTCTGGTCAGAGATACTTCTTAAAGTAAGTGAAAATATGGAGGAGGATAGTTTTCTAAGGAAAATGTATTTTGGAAAACACAGTTACAATGGTATCGAATTAAAATGCCATTTATTTTTTATTTTACTTAATATTTCTGTCAAGTTCAGTTAATCTTCCCTAATTATTTTCTCCCAGTTTGGTATTATCTAAATGCTTTCTTTAGCTTGGGTGAATTTGGAAAGCTTGATTGATTCTTGTTTCAGAGCCTTTTAATAATCTCATATGGCAATTAGGGTATTCTCATTTTGAGTTTGTGCCAGACCTATTGATTAATCTAGCTTAAGACTAAAAGAATACCATGAGAAAATTCAAATTGTGAGAATGATAGGGCCGACATAGTCTTACGAAATATGTATAGTACTAATATCTTTTTAAATAAACATTTTACTGGTAAAGAAGAATTACAAAATAGTAGGACTTCTTTGGGAGTATAATTTTACAGCATCTTAGATTGTGAAATAACAAACCATGTATCTGCAGTTTGATGTGATTTATCAGGATTCCCCCTCCCCCCCCCAATGTAAAGAGAAACAGAATTTTTAGGTTTAATATACAACCTCTTAGTGGCAAACTTACTAGCAGGTCTTCGAAATTGAATCCCTCCTTTGGAAAAGTGAAAACAAGGCCATTGGGTTATTTATTTTTATCAGACTTTCTGTGCCTAACAAAATGGTAAAATTTCATCAAAGCTGAAAAGATCAAAATAAAATTTTATCCCCTCTCGCTTTGAATTATAGATAAGACCTTAATATTTTTGTTTGGCTTGGCTTGTTTAAGTGTGTACAAAATGTTTTCTAAAAGTAATTATTACAGACAGAAATTGTTGTTTTAAAAAAGTAGTTTACTTAGTACTATTTAATCAGGTTGAGATAATAGAGTGAAAAACTGTTTTGATTGAGATCTGTCTTGGCAATCTACTCCTATGGCAAGTGTAACATATATTTATTAGATTAGATAATACAATTAATGATAGTTTTACTGTGTGCGTCTTAGTATTTTATATTAATTGACTCTCAGGGTAGGATGTTACTTTGTGACGTAAGATACAGTTTTTGTGAGAGACAGGCTTATTTAGGGGATGAGCAGAGGAAAAAGTTTGATCTGAAAAGTCTCTACAGTTTTTGTTCCCTTTACTGCAACTTTTTTCTTCTTTTAATTCGTTTTCTGATGTCCTGGTATCCATTTCAAAGGGTCAAGTTTCAACCAGAACAATAAAGGGCCTGAGACTGGAAAGTACACACAAGTCTGGCAGACTCATCTGCATGAGCAAGATCATTTCTTCTCAAGCAGGCGTCCAAAGTAAATGATTGAAAGAGCTGCTAGCTGTGAGGATGTGTCTTTAAGGGAAAAGGAGTGGAAACAAACCAGGTTGTTAGGCGGAAAAAGAAAGGCTGTACTTTTTTGAACCTCTCCCTGCTGGGTCACATGCTGACCTGTGGAGATTTTTGAACAGCTTAATAGCCTGCTTACCTTCTTTCTTTGGTTGATTCTGTCCCTGAAAGTATAAGGTTAAAGAGCAACATTTATGCTCTCCTTAGTCTTTTGTATTTTGTAATTGCTTATTGGTGACATCTGCCTATATTTTCATTTTGAGTAATCCTTTTGTTTTGAGCAGAAATAAATGTCTTATAATTTTATCTTTTAAAGCCTCCAATGGTTCTTCCTATGAGAAGTATTTCTCTTAAAGATATTTGATAAAGATGGATTAATGAAGAGTATGTACACATTCCACATCACTCTGAGCACCCCACTCCAGCGGGCCCGCAGGGAGGCTACACCAGGCCAAGTAATATGAAAATTATGCCATAAGAGCAATGGTTGCAGGAGTGGAGAGAAGCTCACCTGGGAAAGAAAAAAAAAAACTGTGAAAAAGAGAGATAAACATGATTGCCCTAACCGGTTTGGCTCAGTGGATAGAGCGTCGGCCTGCAGACTCAAGGGTCCCAGGTTCGATTCCGGTCAAGGGCATGTACCTTGGTTGCAGGCAAATTCCCAGTAGGGGGTATGCAGGAGGCAGCTGATCGATGTTTCTCTCTCATTGATGTTTCTAACTCTCTATCCCTCTCCCTTCCGCTCTGTAAAAAAATCAATAAAATATATTTTTTAAAAAAACAAACAAACATGATTGTTCTTCAAAATTTTTGAATTTCATTATTTGAAAGTTGCTAAGTGAGTAAATCTTAAAAGTTAAAAAAAAATTCTGGCTCTGGCCGGTTTGGCTCAATGAATAGAGTGTGGGCCTACAGACTGAAGGGTCCCAGGTTCGATTTTGGTTAAGGGCACAAGCCCAGGTTGTGATCCCCAGTGGGGGTGTGCAGAGGGAGCCAGTCAATGATTCTCTCTCTCATCATTGATGTTTCTATCTCTCTCCCTCTTCCTCACTCTCTGAAATAAATAAAATTATATTTAAAAAAAATTCTGTAACTATGTATGGTGACAGATGTTAACAATAGTGGTGATCATTTTGCAATATACATATATATTTTAAAGATCAAAATATATATATATAAAAACTAGAGACCCATTGCATGGATTTGTGCACCGGTGGGGTCCCTCAGCCTGGTCTGCAGGGATCGGGCTGAAACTGGCTCTCCGACATCCTCCAAGGGGTCCCGAGAGGGTGGTTCTTGGGTGATGCACCCTGGAATTGGGCTTCCTCCTCTGTGGTTCCAGGTGCGTCATCTGAGAACTACAGCTGCCAAGTCACCGCAGCTCAGCATCTCCTGCATTGAGCGTCTGCCCTCTGGTGGTCATTGCATGTCATAGCTACGGGTCAAACAGTCGGATGGTCGCTTAGGCTTTTATATATATAGATGCCGGGTCATGTTGTACACCTGAGTAATGTATGTAATGAGGTATGTGTACCTCAATTAAAAAAAAAATGGGGCAGGGAAATATTTTTGAGGTACTCATGTGGAAGTAAAATTAGGCTTATTATATGTTAAGAAATATTAGGACTTTTGACTCAGTTGAATAATTTTCTCATATCATTCCTTTCAGAAATAGAAGGTTTTCCCTGAGAGAGAGATCTTGGTCAGTAAAAGCAGGCAAAATCATGGGTTAACTGGTATCTGTCAGGAATTCTTGAGAGGGCTCCTAAAAATTGGATGTGGAAGATGGGTATTATTCTAAAGATTGCTTTATGAACAATATGAAATTTGGAGAAAAGTTATGAAAAGATTAGTTCACATTCAGTTGTTAGCTACTTCCATGAAGATATTGTCTCTTTGAGTTGTCGTAAACAACTTATTTTTGTGTACTGCACAGGTAAATGATTAATATCTGTCCTATGAGTCAAAGATGATAATGAATGAAGCTTTTGGAGCCAAGTTGCTTCTGTCATAGTTCATTTTTATCTGAGTCTTGATGTTTCAAAGTCAGGCTCTCTTTGCAATCCATACTTATATATTTTCCTTTTGTGGCTAAAGAAAATTCTTATTGCCAGCTAAATGTAGAATGAAAACTTAAATTAGTTGCATATTTTACAACTAGTGAAAAATTATATCTTAATATACTTTTTGGTTGGAGCTAACTTTTCACTTACAAGTATATAATTTAGTCCTAGCCTGTTTGGCTCAGTGGATTGAGCATCGGCCTGCCAACCGAAAGGTCCCGGGTTCGATTCCAGTCAAGGGCAAGGGCCTTCGTTGCAGGCTCCTCCCCAGCCCGGGTTCTGGTCGGGGCGCATGTGTGCAAGAAGCAACCAATTGATGTTTCTCTCACATCAATATTTCTCTCCGTCTTTCCCTCTCTCTTTCATTGTCTCTAAAACTCAATGGAAAAATATCCTCAGGTGAAGATTTAAAAAAACAACAACAACAAAAACACCAAGTATATGCTTTATCGAGATTTATACTTGTCATGAAGAAATCTGATCATAAAAGGTCCAAACTTAGAAGGTGATGTAATTTGTTTGAAAACTTATAAATGTTGACTTTGGAAGCAACTAATTGTTGCCTTGTAACCACAGATGAATGACTTTGAAGTCAATTGGCCCATCCTCTTGTTTCCAGGCAGAATAATTATGGGAGAAGGATTATAGACAGGCAGCCATTGGGATATTTAAAGCTCTTCCTAGATTAATGAGATCTTCTGGAAAAGACTTGTGTCTTAGCTTGACAAGCGATAAAGTAAATTATGGTGATTCTACCTACATTTATCAATGATACATATTTAAGCTCTTGTACGATTGTGAAGAATGTAAAAAAAGCTTAGCCTGTATATTATGTATAATATTTATTCTACTGAATTTACTGTTTCAAGCTAAGTTCTTCAAAGTTGTATGTTGAGTTTTTATTTTTTAAAAATCATTTCTCTTTATTACTCTGAAAAGTATTGCCTTCTTCAGCTGTCTTACAGTTTTCCTACAGGAAATAGTTCTTCAAGTAGTTGGTCAACAACTTCCTATTTCTTTATAAGCTGCTGAATAACTTCCTGAATTAGTATTCTGTAATATCTCTGGTTACAAGGAATGTTTTTCTCAGATTTATTTTATTGAACCTGATACCTTGTAACTATTACCATGTACAAAGAACTTCTTGTATATAATGTACCATATAGGATTTCATATTTTGATTTAAGAAATCCGATGCAGTGATTTTCAACGTTTGTAAATTTGCATTGTTTTAGTAATGTTCTAATTTTTAAAAGATCATTTTGTTTCATTTCTATTATTTATCACTTTCTGAGTACTGGCCAGTGTTTTCATACTTTGAAGACTCAAGGTTTCATGTGGCTGTGATCTGATTAAAAGTTATATTGAGTATCTTGATCCAAGAGTATTTTGTTCAGAGATTTTCAACATTGCACAGCAATATAAATTAGCCAGTTTTACAACATTAAGTGAACTTGCCTTACAGATGTTATTGATCACTATAAATGCTTTGATTCTTTTTTGTTATTTCAGAAGTTAATGCTCCACTGCTTTAATTAAAGCTACCTTAGAAATGTATCAATTAAAGATGAATTAAACTGTTTCTTGTTATAATTTGATCTCTGCTTCTCTCAAACACTTGCCCCGCAGAAGACTATACACAAATGCAATGTGTATTGTTACTTACAATAAAGATTAGATGTTTTTAAAAGGAACAGTTTCATAAAGAATAAAGTTATTTTTTGGGGGGTGTTTTGTTTCTTGCTATATCAAGTTAACTTGATATGATTTCCTTTTAAAAGTGAAAAGCTTGTAATATTGCCATTAAATGTTGATGAAGCTGCAAAAAACCCCACACCAATTCAAATTATAATCACAGAGTATTTCCCTATCTGAGGGGAGGGCCAGCCTCTGCCTGTTTGTCTTGCTGCTGAGGTTGAGTGGGGAGAGAAGATGAAAGTATGCCCTCAGCTCTAAGAAAAAATGCTGGCTTCTGCTCAGTGGGTGGGCATCTCAGGGAAGAATGGCCACAGTGCCACAATGATTTAGGCAGAAAAACGCTGGAGGAACTGTTGAACACAGTGGCAGAAGAAAAACAGTTGGAAGATAGTGGATGTGACAGAGTAAATAGAACATGGAGATTAATGTATTTCCTGGGGAAAATAAGGAGTATTTTGAGTGTGAGCTAAAAAAGATGTTTAGTTAACAAGCTAGATGTTTAAATACAGCAAACTCTCAATGGGCTACAAGATGGTAGGCTAATTTTCTTTAAAAAATAACTTTCAAAAAAATATCCCCCCTTCAGAGTCTTATGTTAACTCTTAAGGAAAAAACCTAAGTAGTTTTTGAATAATTGAAACATAAAAAAATGTTATTGCCGTCCTGAGATCAGTCCTCACTAGTAATGTGGAAAAATAAATTTTACTTTATAGTTAGAAAAAATAATGCAAATTGGCATCCTAAAATAGTAATGCTGATATGTATAAGTACCGCGCGCTAACCGATTGCGCCACTGGAGCTCCATCGCAAATAACTCTGAATTGCCTTTTACCTTTAGGCTTTGGGGAAGAGGTAACTGCTAAACCTAACCTTTTAGCTGTCAAAATGAAGTTTAGGCTTAGGGCAAATCAAAGTTAAATCACTTTAAAAATCAGTTATTAAGACTTAGATTATTCAAACCTAATTTGCTACCTTTAGTAATAGCATAATTTAGCCATTAATTATGGCTTGAAAGTTTAATAATAGTTGAGTAGCATTGTAGAAAGAACCATGTGGTTCTATAACTATGGTTACTAAGTGATGTGATGCAGTTCTTTCAAAAAGGGCTTCTGATTCTGGGATTAATCAGAACTTCAAGCCATGAAAGGGGCATTGCTATTTTTAATGAAGAAGAATTGCTTCATGGTTCTGGTTGCTCAAGTACTGT